GTACCACCGTTCCCAGCTATGTGTGTTTAACATGATGAGTACGTGTTTCTCATGTGTTTGTATGAGCAGATGGCCCAAGGCAACAGAACCAGATAAAATAATGCTTAATTTAGGTTTTTTGTATGTGGTGCTGGGGATCAAACCCAGGGTGTCATGCATGCTAGCCAAGCACTGCACCCAAAGCCCAGCTTTATTTTTTTAAGAAGACAATAAAATATATTCTACATTAGCTTTTGCCCAAGAAATTATTTTCTACCAAATACCCAGGACCCATTTCACCTACGCTCAAAGAAATAACTGCCCTGCGCCACAAAATTACCCCCCGGGGTAATTCAGGGACACAATGAGCCTCACCAGGTGGCCTTTTCTCACTCTCAGCTGGAGGACATTCAGCCGTAGACCTCAGTCTATCTTTGCGGGGTTACCAGCAGCTTTCCAACCACTTCGCACGGGTGTTAACTAGAGTCAAAAATTTGGTTTGATTCTCACGGCAGAGTTCTGGACTGAAATCAGGGTGGGTGGGGGAGCAAAACCGGGTGCTGCCTTGCCATGTACCCAGCTGCTGGCGTCTAGGGGCCTTCCCAAAGTCTCACTTCTCGCTGATGCCAACACACAGCCTCAAAGGTTATTTATCAGTGACTGGGCTCTGTACACAGCCACCACCCGAAGATGACTCCAAACAGGAAGTGCTTTCCCACCTTTCCAAATAGGATGCCTGCCCGAGTGTGGGTGGAGAGATAACACTGCGAGAACTAGTGCTGAGGCTGCAAAACGGCACAAAACGGAATCAAAACACTGCCATTCAGCTAGGGTGTCTCTGTGGCGCAAATACTGAAATGCATATCCTCAAGTCATTGCATTGTAAATATTAATAAAGTCAGAACACATATATTTAGATGGGAGCTAGGCAAAAAAGTCCATGATTCTTCCCTCAAGGTGCCAGCCTTACACAAAATGAAGTAGAAATAATATCTGTTGTTACTTGGTATTCCCTGCCCCCAACATTTCCAAGTCAAAAGATTTTACTAGTCTGAACTCATTTAAAGAGCTGTCCAAACACAGCTGGTCTTTTTGTTTTAGAGATGGACTAGACGGAGAAATATAGGGCATTCCTAGAGAGGAGAGTGTTTACTATAAGGATGCCTATGTCAGCATCCAGGTTTAGGAGCACACAACCTGAAGGTTTTATCAAAGGTTATTTCCACACCTTAATTCACCATCTAATATAACACTCTAGCTTAGAACTTTGAACAGCTGTCAGCTGCCCAAAACAAAGACTTCAGTCAGCTAAAAGTAGCTAAAAGTCACCAGTCACAAGCTACATCCCTGTGCCTTATCAGGAAAGGGACAAGCAAGCTTAATTCCTCAAATGCAGCACTTATCACAGTTAAGACACTTACACACACCCCATTCACGAATCCATGTGAACTGCCCCTAATTTCAGTGCAGAAGCTAATTAGGCACACAGTCCCTTTGGATATTTGCTTTGCATGAGGGGTTTTCATGTAGTAGGTACCTGAGCTCCAGGTGCCGAGCATGACAGAAGCCTGAGTGACTCATCTCTCTGACATTAAATAATTGGAAGTAACATAAATGTGGGTGAGTGGGATTAACGTGAAGGAGCAAGATCAAAGGTGGTACCTATTTCTGCACTAACTTTGTGTTAGGTGGCCAAGTCACCTTTTGTACCTTACATGTGTGGAGCTACACAAGCTGTGAATATAACTTGCTAGTATGGTTATCATTAAATTAGTCTTCAATGAATAGTATATTGTTACCAGACACTTCATAAACATTCCTCTTGTATGTTGATACATTTTAATTGTTGGTAAGTTTTAATTTTAACAAATTGAATCCTGGTTCCCTACCAGTCTCAAATTTTATCCATAGTTCATTGACATTCTATTGCCTTATAGTTATTCTCTAAGAAATTGTAAAAAAATAAGCACTGGACTCGGAATCAAATGTCCTGTGTTTTGGTGTCAAGTTTGATTCACCAGGTAAAGGATCATTGGCAAGTCAGGTGCAATAACTGAACTTTTTTTTCATTCTTTCAAGTATCTGAGTTCCTACTATGTTCTGAGCACTGTCTTAGGAGATTATGACACAACTAAAAGCAAGAGACAAAGGTCTTATATTGTGGTTCATATTCTTCTTCCCTAACTTTGGATTAACTCTTGTTTCCCATGAATGTAAAATCAACTTTGAGAGTGAAACATTTAAGCAGATGGCACAAAACAGGAGCCCCAAGCCATGTGTTAACCACTTGAAATGTGACAGGTCCAGACAAAAGTATGCTCTGAGCGCAAAATACACACTGGAATTCACAGAGCATGAGAAAAGAATGTATACTACCTTCTTTATACTTTTTATATTGACTATACACTGAAATGATAATAATTGACATGGTAGGTTAAACAGACCTATTATTTACATTATTTGTCTTTATTCTTTAATGTGACTACTAGAAAGTCAGTTTATGTCTCACATTTCTATCAAACAGCATGAACTAGTTTGTTGTGTTTATTACAGAGAAGGAACTGAAACATAAAGAAGTCTCTGCCAGGCCTAGAATTCGGGTCTCCCCACAATTTAAAAGGCAAGAGGAGGTGAACATAAAGACTACAGAGGGCCAGACTGCAGGATTCAGCAGTGTGCTGCTAGTTCCTAACTGAGCAACCCTGGGCAAACACCTGGACACACAGCAGGTACCCATTTAGTATCTGATTCATCTCTGCTCTGGCTCCTACTCTTTCTGCTGCAGTCCCCATATAATTATTCCAAGCAAAATACAGAGCTGCGTAAGACCACCCAACATCCAAGTCCTAGTGTTTGTCTCTCACCACGATAGAGGGCAGGATCCACAGAATACGTCTGGGGTGAGGGACATGCAGCCAGGCATGGTGGAAGATTACCTCTACTCGCATCTTGTAAGGGCTAAGCAAGGTGAGAGAAGCTAGTAGCAACAGAAGCTAATGACGGTACACTGGTTTGAGATTCATGGATAATTTTCTTCAGCAAATGTTTTTACAGGAGGCAGAATATGGAACAGATATGGAATTTTGTGCTCATCCAATAGAAGATAAAATTTTCAAAACTAGAAAATAATGTGCAGAAAGGACTGTAAAGTACTAAAGAGACAAGGTGTGGGATAAGGGGGCCCTCAGATGGGAAGTCATCAGTCAGAAGTCTGTGCAAACGGCCCAAAGCTGGATTAAAATAAAGTTCAGCAAAGAAACAGCCACTCACTTGTTCAATTATCTGCACATGTATTCCACAAGGTAAAGCAGGAGAGTTGGAATACACACGCTACGGGGGTCAGGAGCAGCCAGAAAGAGGCAGTCCTGATGAGGCTGGGGGTACCTAGGGGATAGGAAGTCCCCAGGAACTGTTAGACTGATACTAGAGGTACCTGGTTTCATAGAATTGCCAGAAATGAGGAGACTGGTGTTGCTCTCATGGAGCGCCTGTCGACAGGCCCCTAAACAACCAGGTCAGCGATGACAGTGGGAAACAAAAAATAAAAACGAAAGAATCAGCAGAACCAGCAACTGAGTGAACACGGAGACAGCGCGGCTGAGCGAGCCCTGCGAGGCTGGTGTGGGGAAAGCGGGAAGGGTGGGAAGGGCATAAAGGAGCCGGTCTGGAACTCAGACTTGGAGTTTCAGCTGTTGGTCAATTAGCAGTCACTGCCCCTCAGCTCCAGATCTGTACTCCAGTCTAGGCTGGCCGCTTTTGATCCCAAAAGTTCAAATGCATGGGCCCACCAGGACAGCACCCACTTTAGGCATGCCTCCTTCACAAGGGAGGGCAGTCAACCACCCACAGAACACACATCCGTGTAACAGTGGCGTCTTCTGCGTGCAAGGCCATGCTCCAGGTAAGCATGCGGGCTCCACGCTGAACACCAGTCCTGCTTTCCTGGTACCCACATGCCAGGGAAGTAGGAGAAAACTGAGTTCTCTGAGTGCATGTTAAGGCTTGCCCAGGTCCACTCACACACCATTCCCTTGGCCTCCAGCACCTGGCATGAATCACTGCCTACAAAGCACTGGACTCCTTACTGAATCACTGTTACCTGAGAAAGAATATGCTACACAGTTTAGTAACCAAGACTCTCACATGCTCTGAGATTAAAAAACATTCTACATGGAGGGAGAATTGCTTAACGTCAGCAATTATTTCTTCATATTGGCTTTTTCCTGTTGTTCCAAGGTGTTCTATGAACAGTTCTACAATGAGCCACGGGGGGCAGATGTACAAAAACTATAAATATAAAACAATTCATAAAGTTTCCATACATAGGTGGGTAATGTAAAGATGCTTCCTCTGAAACACTTAAATTCCAAATATAAGCTTCCTTACAATGCATGTTGTAAAAGGGTAAAAAAGAGAAGCTTCAGGAGAAGCTTCAGGGCTTGGAAACATCCTACAAGACTGGATTTATTGGAGTGCCTAAATAGACTTAATTCTTAAAATATGGAACTGTCTTTAAATATGGGGTACGATACAATTCATGCTAACTTAACGTACTATGGTTAAAATAACAATATGGCAGAAGGCATTTTTCTATACTGCCCTGTTTATATCAATGATAATGAGAAAAAAGCAAAAGACTTTATCTAATCAGAATAATATCTTAATCTAAGTAACACCTCAGACTCTGCCTTGCTCCCTCTATCCCCAGACACAAACACACAGTAACAGAGGCAGCTCAAAGGCAGTTAGAGGAACCAAGAAACCCAACCACACAAGTTTAACTTAGGCAGCTATTCTTGAACTTGTGCGATTTCTCTCATACAGCAAAAATGGTTTTGAAAGATTAATTTAGAGCTCTCAGTTTGCCTTTCTTTGGGGGCTAATTCCACCGAATTAACATAGCAAAGAGGAAGGGTGGAGACAAGGTACTACTTTTTGGAGCCGTAATAAATAAAGTTCTCAATTTTGTATCAAATATGTCCAGTTAATGGGCTTGGAAGAACAAAGGTACTATAGTTTACTTTTAAGTTATCTGTATTGCTGAGCTATTCCTTAGACTTTCAGAAGTAGGAGGAATTCTCTGTCGCTGATGGGCAGATGTACCTAACCGGCCCTGGCCTTGAACACTAGGGGATGTAGGGTAAGTATGGGTGATCCAGCGGGGGGAGGGAGACGAAGTCAGGACGTGCTCTTGGCGGCTACTCATATCCAAAGTATACTGAAGACACTAAGTAAGGAGAGTCCCTGGTGTTGGACTGTCACAATCATCCTGAAAAACAAGCCAAGAGAAAATTCTTTCCATCAGATTTACACAAATCTAACTTCGGGATATAAGACAGTTATTACACGGAAAAACATAAAGAGTGTGGCTGTTGATTCTACGTGCATACATTAAAGTTACTTATGAAATTAGGAATTTTTGTTTTTGTAACAATGAGAGGTTTCTTAGCAGGAAAAACAACCACTTTAAAGAAACTTTCATGTTAGGTGATAACCCCCCTTCAACTGCCTAAATGCTTATATCCAATACTGTACCAAAAGCATCTTTCTAAAAACTCCTTACTGAGAATCCATGTACTCTAAAGCTAAAAAACATATCTTAAAATACAAAGTTTCAGCTATGTGAAGTAAACTAAGCTTGACTCCAGGGATACTATCTTCTACTTTCATAAACGAGAATGTTAAAAGACAGAACCCCTGCTTGGTGCAGCTCAGAGGGCTTCCCTGAAAAGAACAGTCAGCACCCTTTAGTTCACGGCCCACCCTCTTCAACTGCAGGGTCTAACGTGGCAGCTTTCAGTCCTCAATAACACCTCTGGTGAGTTAAGGCATAGTGCAGTTCTTGGTAAGCTCCAGCCAACCTCTCAGCAGCCTGGCTTGCTTCCTGGCTCACAGCCCTGCCAACTTACTCACGTTTAAAGCTTGTTATAGCCAACAATGGCCACCCTTACCCAACTCCTAGGGCTGCTGGGGCAGGCAGGAATCCACTTTAGGAAGATTCAATAACGTTATTTCCCGGGTTCGTTCAGTCTCCTAACTCACCTACCAAATATCCGGAATAGTAAGCGGTCACAATACAATGACTGATACATAGTCTTTAGTAAAAGGCGGAAGATTTGTACGATCTGAACAGAAACCAGAGTGTTACATACATAGTCTTTAGGAAAGCTTACTGTAAGTGTGTAAGTACTTCGCTGTATGTTATACATGTTACTCTTCCGTTTTAAAAAATTCAAAAGGAACAGGTCCCCCCTTGGGGAACCGGTCAAAGCCCTGAGCAAGCCTTCCCTCAGGGGGATGGCTGCGGGCTGACCATCCCGCGCTGGCGGTCCTGCTGCAGGAGTCTGGTCCGGGGCAGCTGGCCAGGCATTTCCCCCAGGAGCCCGCCCTGACTCCCAGGGAGCGACGTCCGGTTTCCTTGCCAGCCCGCCACGTCCTGTGCTTAGGTGTGCGGGCTGCGGACCCGTGCGCTTCAGGCTCCCGGTCCCGCGGCTCCCCTCCCAGCCTGCTACTTGCGCTTCGAAGTTTGTGCGAATCGAGTCAACGAACTGCGACACCTCCTGGGGCAGCCGCGCCTCTTAAGCCACCAGCGGCCCAGCTATCCGAGTCCACTGACTCGTCCTGGCTTTTAGCCTACGCGGTAAGCAAGTTTCAATCGCCAAAGGGGAGGAACCAGGTTTCGCAGACACCGCATTCTCGAAAGTTTCCGAGAGGCGCGAGGCGCACAAGCCACTCCCTTGGATCGCTTGCAGCTCACGGGGTGCACCAGAGACAGCGTGAGTCCAAGGACAGCTGCGGAAGGGTCTCCGACCCTCCCTCGAAACCCAGGTCCTGAGCAGCGCCCCGGCCCTCCCCCGCCGGACGCGCGCCCCAGACCGCCTGGTTGCCAGCCGCGGTTCGAACTCCCTGCGCGCCGGCGAAGGTGTGCGCGCCGCGGGGGCGCAGGGGCGACCGAG